GTTGGGAGATATCATTTCAGGACCTCTTGTTGCATTGGTGATTGGTACCTGGCATCCTGGTTTTTTTGATCTTATGCACTTTGCATGTTTTGGTTCAGGAGGTTGCGCAGCCAAAGCGATAATTTCATATCCATGGTCCATGGCCCATGTGAACCTAAACCTTCTTACACATAAAAACGACACTTTATCTTTTGGCGAACCATGTTCGGAAAAAAATAAAAGTGCCACAAATACCCGTAGAGTGTTATAAACACACGTAGAAATCCTACTCCTAAAATGGTACACTTTCCAATGACCAAAATTCCGGACACTTTGGACAGTGCCCAAAACGATGGGCACCAGGCTTTCCAGTTAATTACCTACTTCCACATGATCCATAAATATCTGAAGTGTGCGGAAGTAGCAAATTACAACATCAAAAAAAACAACTCTAGGAACCAAAACCTCCAAGGGTCTACAATGGGGGGGGTCAGAGTTCTAAAATCGAACCGCATACCCATTCTAGAACCCAAGAATTTACCCCCAGGGGGATACCCATTCTAGACACTTCGTACTTGAGGGTATGCAAAAGACCCATGTTGGGTTTGAAAAAGGGTTCACCTCAGGCCTTGGCGTGCACAATCAAACTTGGAATGAAACAAACCTCTTGAGTCAGGTGACCCAAGTCGGTTTGGACAACATATTGGAGCGCCAGTGCCACACTTTGAGCATAGTCATCGAGGACCATCGGCCCATAGGGTTTTGGCTTGAGCATGGTGATTTCAATGATTTCATGGAATAGGTGTTTTTTGCTTGAGGCTTGGATTTTGTTACCGCATAGTGACATACTTATTGAGTTCATGGGGCATTTTTGACAACCTGATTTTGATGTTTGACCGGGGGCTATTGCCATGAAGCGTTTGCACGGCGAAGTTTTTGGCAGCAGCAGCGATTCCAGCGGCAGTAGTGATGATGAACCAGCCCCAGACATCTAGCAGCAAGTCATTTTTTGCCACCTTGACACCGGGTGGCAATTTTTTTGAATTTCATTGCAACGGTCATACCATAGATTGCAACTACGTTGGGCAGGGAGTTCTTGTGAGAGTGCTGTACAGTGGTTGGGGCACTCTTCCCACTTCCCGTCAGCTCCTTTGATGTAAGGAAGCTGCTACATCAACGTTTGCACCATCTGAAGTTGCACGCGAAGACGCGTAGCAGTTTTCAGAGACTTGTCTAGTGTGGAGGACGTGGTGTCAAGGTAGCGTTGGATGGTTTGATGTCTAGACTGGCTGAATGAAATTCCGACATGTTTCTTTAGGCAACTTGAAACATCTTTCCCTTTCATGGGCACGGCGCCCCCCCAACGCTTGGCACTTGGAATCTGCCGTTGCTATATAGTTGGTTGGCAGCAGGAGATCTATGACAAGGACAACTTCGAATATGGTCCAATTCATCACGGTGCATTGCCGTCTGGTCACTCGCTCCGAACGGTGAGCCTTCCGGATTGATCCATAGCTGCAAAGAGCAGGCCAAGATTGAGCTAGGGGTAGCACGGCGGTAAAACATACTTCTGCGCATTGGCAAGAATATGTTCATTTTTCAGCGGCTTTTCTTGGCTGGATACTGTGATGACAACTGACATTGATTACTTGCTGGCGCCTGTTTGTGTGCTATAACGATTCTGATTTTGAGTCTATGATTATCTCAAAATTTGCCAACTCCTTTTCAGTCATTCTCCAGCGTTGGCAGGAAACTGCCTTTGCTTCGAGTGACTTCTTCCATTGGCTGTGGTTGTGCGGGGGGTGTAGCTTAGGCTGGGGCTACTGCACTGATCGTTTGGATTTGGGCGATGTGCAGACGCCAACAGTGGTGGCCAAGGCGCTTGGGCCCACCTTACATGTCGAGAACTTCTCAGAGCTGATATGGAAATTTGAACCAGTACGGATAGTCAGGACTATCCTTTTTGATTCTGTGACATGGGGTTGGTTCCCACTTTGGGCTGCACTTTGTTCCACTTTGCCCCCAAAACTTCCCCCCAGGAACGGTTCAGAACGGTTCTGAACTATTGTGGGGGTGTTTACGCATGGTGTTTGGGCACGTTTGGACCAGCTTTTGGGAGTTTTTTGTGTGTTTTATTGTTGTCTTAAATGATTTTCGCGGCTTCAATCCACCTGGGAAGGACCTGAAGAGGAAGGACTCTACAACACAAAAAAAAAAAAGGCTGTGAAATCAGAGCTGGGGATTGAGCCTTTCCAAGGCTTTGTGCCTCCTAGCTTATTTCAATGCGAGGGAGTTGGACAAATTTGACATTGAAGCTGCCAAGCTCCTCGCACCTTGTCAAACGCTCCCCCCTTATTTACATTGCTGTAGATCGCATGATCAAACAGCCAAACCACATGTTTTTTAATTAGTCCTTGGCAGTTTTCGATGCTTTCCGCATATCATATCAATTGAACAATTTATTGCATAAATTAAGTTGTGATTGTTACGTTTACTTCTATTAATATTCGACTTCTCTTTTACTACTTACACAGTGTGAGACGTTTTTCTTTGCTGCGATATTTTTAATATAGAAACTGCCCTTCCCTTTCGCTTTAAGACCACGTTTTCAACTTAGAATTTTGATATTATTGAAAAACATGTGCCAAAACACAGCCACAAGACATGTGCCAGGAAACCGTTCTGAACCGTTCTTTGTAGAAAGTACCAAAAAACGCAAATAGCTCTGAACCGTTCCGGAAACGGAACCGTTCTGAACCGTTCTTTGAGGGGTGAAGTTTTCATCAGAGAACCGTTCTGAACCGTTCTTTGTGCATCCCAAAGTAGTGTTTTTCTGTATTTATTTGAACGGTATTTTTCAACTTGTTTTCTTTTACAGATATCTGATACCTTCATCATTCATCACCTGATTTAAAACATCATTGCACATTGCATGTTGGATCATTTCGCTTCATTTTCAACGCATATCATTTTTTACTACTTTAGTATCATTTCATCATACCACATCTTATCACCATGCATCGCATCAAATATTTTCATCATGACAACATCAAATCACGGAGCCCTTTCTTCCACGTTTCCACTCTATGTTAATTCCACGGTATATAGACATAGACACAGAGACACAAATCGTACCGAAATAACATACCATAACATTCCACATGGAGTCATGCAATGTCAATTTGCATCATGTCATAAGTCGTATAGGTCAAGTCATACCGTCACATCATATGAATCATATCGCAACATATCATGTCCAAACTCAACAAGTGCCTAAACTTCAAACTTGTTTTAAAGCTTCCTATTGGACTAATCCTGCAGCGCTCTTAATTCCAACTGTGCGCAGCTGGCTTTTCAAAAAGGACATTGCTGCTCTTGGACATTTCGGCAGTTTGGGAAGTTTCCACGAGGGTAGGGTGAAATTTTACTGGGAAATTGAATATCAACAACAGTTTTGGCATCAATCCGGGCTTGAATCAGGGCTATGTATGGGGCTATGTATGGGGCTGTGTTTTGGAGAAAGAATCTCTATACGGAAATCTTGCCAGAAACAACCATTAAACAGGCTAACGATTGATATAACGCCTGCCACGCAAAGTGGCGCGGCGCCCCGGGCGACCAACGGCGACCAAGCGCGCCACCAGAGCCAGCCAAGTGCAACAAGTGCCACGTGTGCCACGCGCAAGGCAGATAGATGTCGCCAAGTGCCACGCCTGCCACGTAAAACGAAGGTGGATGTCACGAAGTGACACGCCTGCCACGCAAAGTGGCGCGGCGCCCCGGGCGACCAACGGCGACCAAGCGCGCCACCAGAGCCAGCCAAGTGCAACAAGTGCCACGTGTGCCACGCAAAACGCAGGTAGATGTCGCCAAGTACCACGCCTGCCACGTGAAACGAAGGTGGATGTCACTAAGTGCCACGCCTGCCACGAAAAGTGGCGCGGCGCCTCGGGCGACCAACGGCGACCAAGCGCGCCACCAGAGCCAGCCACGTGCCGCAAGTACCACGCCTGCCACGTGAAACGAAGGTGGATGTCACCAAGTGACACGCCTGCCACGCAAAGTGGCGCGGCGCCCCGGGCGACCAACGGCGACCAAGCGCGCCACCAGAGCCAGCCAAGGGCAACAAGCGCCACACCTGCCACGCCAAACGCAGGTAGATGTCGCCGAGTGCCACAGTGCCACGCCTGCCAAGTTGTGTGTGTGACAAAGTTGTGTGAGTGAGATGGTGTGTGAAAGATGGTGTGTGAAAGATGGTGTGTGACAAAGTTGTGTGAGTGAGACAGAGGGGCGGCGGAGGAGGCGGAGGCGGAGGAGGAGGCGGCGGGATACAGAATCAAAAACAAGAACCCCACACAAAGATGTGGGGAATAAGTCCAACTGGTCAGGAGCGTATGAAGCTTGCTTACTATCATCTTGCCAGGGAAAAAGTACCATGTTTAAGTCTATAGTGTGGGAAAAAATAAGAGGTTACCAACAGAATCCTCAACCAGCCCCAACTAAGCGCCACCCAGGTCTGCTTGCAAAGCAAAAAGTGAGCGAATGCTTCCAAACCTTGCCCAGGCCCAGGCCCACAAGAAATTGACAAAAGCAAGCCACATCAAAGGCAGAAAGCCACAAAAGCTATTCAAATATGCGGCCATTTTCGCTTGCTTGCCGCTTGCCCATGTTTTCTTCATTCAGCCCCCTAAAGCACTTTGGCCATCGGGGATGGAGTTGCTAGGGAAGGTTCATCGCGTAACAAAAGCCAAAGCAATCCCTTTGCTAGGGATATGACAAATGGCGTCATTGTCAGCACTTGGAGGGGGAAAGAGCGAGAGAGAGGCAAAGATGGAGAATGCAGTTTTTGCTGCCCATTGAACTGGCACTTCCTGCTGAATTGATTGAGTCGTTTAGGGATCGGGAGGGGGCTTGAAGGATTTGAAGGGCCGAGATGCAGAGATGAAAACTTGGTTGGTTCAACCTTGTTAAGTGACAAAGGATTTGCTCTGTCCACATGATAGCAGCAAGTCATATCAAATCTACACCGTCACTGCACTTCCAACCCCCAACGCTTGAGCAACAGCCTTTGCAGTTGCGGAGGCGGCTTGTGCAGGTACGCTCTCTGCTTCTGGCTCCTTGGGGTGGGTTTAGAGATGCTCAAGCCAAGCTACTTCTGGTCTTTTATTTTTCTCTTCGGCCGGCTGCAACGGGGCCATATAGGCTGTCATAATTACCCTTCAGACTTCCAAGGCATGGACGAGATGGGGGACAAGCAAAAAAATCAAAAAACTCAAACCACCTCTCAATCCAACCAGGTCACGGCAGCAAGGCTGAAGGTTTGGGTCTGAAGCAAACTTCGAAGCCAGGGGATGGTGGAGCGTCTCATGACCTCGTGATGTAGCGCTGCGGTCTCAGACTTCTCAAACTTCTCGGATGGAGTCCTCAATGCTGCTGGCTGGAGGCAAATCAAATGATCCGCAGGGGATTGCACAACCTGACATCAACAAATCTGCCTCGGACTCAAACAAGTACTCCATCTATCTATGACATCTTTGATTCCATTGGTATCTATGATGTCTATCTATCTAATCTAATTTAGTCTAATCTAATCAAATCATAATCATAATCATAATCTAATCTAATCTAATCTAATTACTCAATGTATTCATAACTAACTAATTAAATGATGTGCTGTTATTTGATATGATGTGTATCTCTATCTATACAGCTTCATTTAAATAATCAGCCACAGATTCGCACGGCTCAAATGACGCAATGCCCTCTGCAACACCTCACGCACGCTGCGATCGCTGCCATCGCTGCCATCGCTGCGCAAGGCCCACTGGACCGTGCGCCAGGCCAGGGCCGCGTGTCGTGCCTCATCTTGGAAAACCTGTTGCAAGGCCATCTCCTCGTGAGTGATCAAACCTCGACAAACGGAACATGGAACCATGGAACCATGGAACCAGGAATCATTTAAAAAAACAACGGTAAAGGATGATAAGGATTGATAAACATAACAAACGAGTAGTATTGAGTGATGCCATTTTTGTTTTCTTTTCGATTTTGCTGAGGTTACTGGCTAGGTGGTTCTGCTGTGGAATGTGCAGGATTAGTTTTACCACCAGCACCAGCAGTAGTGCCACTACACTCTCTCGCGAGGTGGAGGTGCAACACATCACCGAAGAAAAATTAAAAAACAGAAGCAAATATGGACCTGCCAGAAATTATAATTCTGCAATGATGATCAATGATGAATATTAAAAAAAACATGTAGAGTGCCAAAAATATACATTCACAGAACATCAAAAACAACATCGGTCTCCAAAACAAACTCAACTTTAAGGAGCAACGTAAGGAGCCAACACCTTGAACTATCTTCAAGCTACCGGGCTACCGCATGTTCGGATGCCAAGAAGCCACCCTGCAACAGCTGTTCCTTCGCCTTTGCCAGTGACACCATTTCCGCCATACAACCCTCCTTGACGCCAGGGCATGAGTCACAAACTTCGGGCGAAGATTGGTTTCTACAACAAGATTCTACAAGATTT